TAGAGCTTGATTTATCTAATAATTTGAATTTTAATATCTTATTTTTGAACCAAAATATTTTATAATTTCATTAACTGCATCATTTTATGTTTGATATAGAAATTGCGTAGCTATAAAATAAAAATGCTCATAATATTTTTTCAAAAAGAAAATTTGCTTGATTGAAAAAATTTATAACAGAGTTTAAAAATATTAGGTTTAATGATTTAATGAAATTCTTTATCATCAAAATGCATAATAGGCTTAAATTTTTATCATTGACATGTAAATATCTATGATATTACCACCATTATTGTAGAATTTTACTTTTGATACTAATTAATCAGGAAATTTTAGACTTCTTACGCCTGGTTAAACATCGCCTTCATATATCAGAGATTCAATCTATTTGTTTACTCCAATTAGAAAAATTTGCATCTTTGCTACTCTTCTTATGTCGTGATCCAACATCCAAAATCTAATTGTATTAATTTCATAGGCTTATAAAAATTCAACAATTATTGATTACTGTAACCCAATAAATGTATGCGCAGTTGCATCGGTGTCAGAAAAATAAAGTGAATTTCTAAGAGGACTATTATCTATATTAGGTCTGTAAAAACTATTGCTTCTAGCCGATGATAAAAGTGCTCCATTAGATTCTGATGCTACATCTTTGTAATGCCCTCTTAATATTGATTTTTCTCTTAAAATGTATAAATCATTTTAGCTAAATTTTGCATTAGCATCCCAAGCTGGTGATGATATTAAGCCAAATATATCTAATAATGCGAAAAGAAGCAATATTTTCATTATTTAATATAATAAAAAATTTTTGAAATATCTTATGCCATAGGTTTCAAATTAGGTTTGAGCTAAATATTTGGCAATTGTAAATTTTTATGATTAAAAAGATGATAAGTATGTGACGAAAGGTCTGATATATGGATTGTGATCATGTTCACTACTCTTGACAAAGATTCCTTGAGCAGGAATTATTTGGAATATTAAAAATCTTGACTTCCATTTAGACTTTAATATGTATTTTGAATGACCCAATGTTTTAAGGTTTAAGAAATTGTCTGGAAAATTATAGACGATATGTAGTTAGAAATAAAAAGAATTAGTCAAAGAATTAATGTTGTTTATTAATTTTAATATTAATACACTTGGTATTACTTCAAGTTATGAAGAATAATAAGTACTGAACTAAAACAATTCTTTTTTATATTAACAGATTGTATAAAATTTATGAAATTGAAAAATAGAGGTGATTCTTTTCTCATTTAATTTCTTTCGATCTAAATTCAGAATAAATTAATGTATTTAGCGTATTTTTGATTGAAAAATATTATTTTTTACCTTAACAATTATAATTTACTGTTTTTAGGAAAATTAGTATTTTTGATATTAATGATTAGGATTTCATTATAAATTTGATTAGGGAAGGATGCAAATATATTGTAAATCAACATCATAAGGCTTATGGGCACCCTAAATCATGCATAATTCTTTAGGATGAAAACTAAAATGATTAAATTTAATTCAAAAATATTTTTCTATAATAGGAGAATGATGAAGTCTTCAAACATTAAATTTATAATTTCAAATCATTAACACAATTAAGAACGGTGGTGTATCAATAATTTTGATTTGTGTTTGAATTAATTTTCTTAATAATGAGAAGATGTTTAAAACATGTTAAAATGAAAACAGTTTTACAAAAACAAAACAATAAAACAAGAGATTTTGCTCTAATACCACTCTATTGAATTCATCCATTTACTACATATACATCTGATATTGGCTTTATAACTTGGTTGAATCTATTCTATTTTATTAATATTTTAGTTTTGGTTTTAGTGAAAATAATTTTTCTTTTTTGGATTGTTCAAAAATCAATTAATTTCATAGTTAGCTAAAATGTTAATAAATTTACTTGAATTTGAATTTTTCCTTTTTTGTAATAAATTGTTGATAAATATCATAGAATTCTAGAAATGATGATTTATCTTTTTATGTATAATTACTATATTTTAGATTTATATTGAAATTACCTTTATAATTATTTATTATACAATTGAGTTTATCGCTACTTGATTGTTATATTCTAATAATACTGTCATGTTAGGTAAATTATGTGAAAATCAAAGGTTAAATGAATTTAATCATCATGCTATACAAACAGTTATTACTAAAACTATAATTAGAATAACCAAAAAACCTACTTCCACAAATATCCAAAAGCACATAATAATATTTAGTGGATGATGATACTACATTTAATGATTGAAATCGATTATAAATCTGAGAACAGTATAATGCTTAAGTGTTAATAAATAAAAACTTAATTTCTATCCATTTCAAAAGAAACTCATTTCAAGTTTTCTAATTATTATCTGAGCTTTATGATAATGAAATCTATTAAGTTGATTTTAATTTAATTCTATCTTGAGAGCTTAGGGGAAATATTCCTATAATTTTGATAGGTAGATAACTCTTAGATAATGATTAATTAAAATAAAATAAAAAGATGAACAAGTCAGGAAGTATGTATTGTACAACAAGAGATGATAAATATAAAACTACTTTTGAATAGTGACTGCTAAATAATTCATTTTCTATCTTTCCTATTCATAATTTGAAAAGAATCTTTTTAATACTAAATTGGATATCAAGATTAGTTTTACATTTTTCTTACACCGTTTCCTTTTATATCCATTTTATCCCATTTCCCTGTCTTTTTACCATTTATATATTCCCCTAAATACACTTTTTAATTATTATAAGTGAATTCTTGAGCCAATTCAATCCAAACTCCAGATTTAATTGAAATTTCAAACCCATTATTTTGTTATATAATCTTATACGATCCTCCTCCACTAAATTATATATTATATTCTAAAACATACATAATTGAAATTTTTTTAGTAAGTACATCTTTATATTGAATTTTCCATTCACCAACTTTTAAACCATTTATATATTCACCTACAAAAAGAATTTCACTTTAACTTATCTTATAAATGATTTAAATTACTGCCAAAACTTATCTTCGAACTCAATCCAATATCCAGACTTAATTGAAATACTTAATACTGAATTAATTTGTTTAATATCATATGATCCTCCCCCACTATCATTAAATTGAATATTAATAGATTAATTACATGCACTCAAATTATGATTTTTACAAGCCACCATTCTTATTAAACATATCCCATTTGCCAAACTTTTTGCCGTTTAAATATTGACCATTAAAAGTAACTTGATCACTCCACCTAAAACCACTACTCAACTCAATCCACCTTCCAGTTTTTTAGGAATCCCCATCTCGTTCTATGATATACTCTCCGCCACCTCTTGTTAAAAAGCATAACAAATAACCATCTTACATTTATTCCTTCTTCTGAGCAATAACATCTTTAAAATAAGACTTCCATATTCCTACTTTTATTCCATTTTAATACTCTCCTTCTAAAGTAACTAAGCTCTATCTACTTTAAATAATTTATTGATACTCCCAAAGCGTATCATTCATTTCAATCCATCTACCATTCTTGACTGTAGAATCGTTAACAATAGTACTACTATAAACTCCACCACCACTATTAAAAGAGAAAAATAAGCAAAATACATTAAATTAAATTTGTTATTTTCTCCTTATTATTTAAAGAAAGCATCCCATCTGTCAACTTTTTTCCCATCTCTATATTTGCCATTATATGTCAATTAGTTAAATCTTTTAATATGAATAATTAATATACAAATTAAATTTAGAGCATTATTCTATCCAATCTCCAACTTTTACTGAATCCTTTTAGCCTTCATTCATATATTAACCACCACCACTTGATTAAAGATTATGTTGTTAAATGTATACATCTTTTTGAATTAATTTGTTTCAATCGACTTGAACAGTACATCCCAATATCCATCTTTTTTCCCATTTTTATAAAATCCAGTATGAATTATTTATCTCAACCTATATTGAAGTTACTATTATACTCTCCAAATCCATCATTTAATTCAATCCAACTTCCACTCTTCATTTGATCATAAAAGCCATTATCACCTTCTTTTAGTTCATACTATCCACCTCCCCTTGATTTGAAAAGTTATGATATTCTTTTACATTTATACATAATTTGAATGTAATTTATTGGATTTGTATAAAATATCCCAATTACCAACTTTTCTTCCATCTTTGTAAACACCAGAGTGAATAATTTAACCTTCACTAAATTTTAAAAACTATTATACTCCCAAAATTAATCATTTTATTCAATCCATTTTCCTTGCTTAATATTTATTTAAATGCTTTCATTTTGTTTTTCTTAAACGTAAGTTCCACAGCCTCTATTTCAAAAATATTTAGAAAATCATATTTACACGATTTTAAAGAGATTGTTGTCATTTTTTGATTTATACAGAATATCCCATAGACCTACTTTTTTGCCATTGAAATATTCTCCATAATACATGAGCTAACTTTTACTAAATATTTATTTTATTGATTAAAAAATACTTCCAAAAATTATCGCTTAATTCAAACCATTTACCACCTTTCTAGCCTTAAAAGTTGTATGATCCACCTCCTCTAAAAATTTCTTTAATTTCATTACATCTCTTGACCGTCATAAAGGAGTTTCCACCTTCCTACTTTGATACCATTCTTATATTCTCCAACCTCATATACCTGGGATTCACTATACATCAATTAATTATTATCAATTACCTCCAATACGTTGTTATTAGATCTTTCCAAATACCTTATTTTTATCCATTTTTGGAGTAATAACCTCCAACATTGGACAAAATTTCTTCTTTCCAAACTGCCTCCCAATTGCCTATTTTATCATTTTTTTCTCCACATTTTCCAAACCATCTAAGGTATTTAACTTAATCTAAATTTACAAGATCTTCCCCATTAAAAACAAGATCCTTTTAATAATCACTTTATTGTGAAAATTGATACATCCTTAAAATTTACCCATCCTTAGAGCAAATGATTTTATTTTCTGAGTTAAATAAAGTATGTAATTTTATCTTCAAAAATCTTTTACTCTAATCATCCCAATATTTTGATTCAATTTCTTTCATTTTATTTTTAATATTTACATTTTTTCAAGAATAAATTCATTTTCATCATATCAATTAAATGCTAAAGAAATATAAGTAAATATTTAAACCATACCCTAAATTATGAGAGGTTTTTCAAAATATTTTGAGTGATTCACAAACCCTTTTTCCTACTTTTAAGTCAAACGTCCTTTTAATTTAATAAAATTCAAGTAAAGATATAGTTACAAAATTACAATTAAGATCTTAATATGAAGAATAATAAAATTCATTATCTAAACTGGATTTAGCTTGAAATTTGAATTTCGTTCAAAAGCAAAATTTAAAGATAATATAGGAATTTTCCTATGAGTGAACGTTCTAATTTGCAGTAATTCATTAATATTGAATTCTGTTTTAAAGAAATATAGAAAACTTCAATATAAAGAGACATCATATATATTTAATATATAATTCTAATTCTTTAGACTCACATCAATAATTGTTTATAAAATATTAGAAATATTTGTAAAGAAAAAATGCAAGACTTTTTCAGTATTTTTTTTTATGACTTCTAAATGAGTTTATGATAGATGTAAGATTTTTATAGATATAATAATTATTATAAACTGTTTTCATATGTTAATTCTTTATTCTTCCAAAATTATGCTTCCTTTTTGCTAGAAAAGTCTCCTTAAATCCATTTTGAAATGATTGATGAACTAACCTTGTAAGATTTAAGTTCCCTTGGCTTCACAATGTTCATACTAGGAAATTCGAAGGACAGTTAAGCAATCATAAACTAATTATTTAGAAGAAAATTACATTTCTTTTTCTAAAGTAGATTTTCCTCAATATTAGGTTATAATTGGTAAAAAATCTCTTAATAACCGCTATCAGAAGGTGATAGTTGCTACTCTAAATTTATATCCCACATATTTATTGATTTATCTAAGGCTCCTTATGCAACAACAGTGCCATCAGAAGAAAAGCATAAGATTTACACCTAATTAGTTAATCCTCTTAACTTTAATTTTTCACTTCCAGAATTTACATCCCACAATCTTAATGATCCATCAAGACTACCTGAAGCTAATATAGTCCCTTTTGGGGAGAATTATAAGGATAAAACTGATTTGCTATGCCCATTAATTCTGATCTTCAAATTTCCTGACTTTGTATCCCATAAATAAATAGATGCATCAAAGCTGCCTGATGCTAATATTGCTCCATCAGGAGAGAAAGTGACTGATTCCACTCTTTAGTTATGTCCAATTAATTTCATTTTTTGATCTCCTGACTTTAAGTCCCATAATCTTATCAATTTGTCTAAACAACCTGTAGCCAAAGTAGTACCATCAGGAGATAAACATGCTGATATTGCTCTTAATTATAATTTTTTGTCTTATTTCTAACTTACATCCCATAAACGAATTGATTTGTCATAACTACTTGAAACTAATAGATTACTATCAGGAGAAAAGTTTATTTGGGAAACAGAATCATTATGGCCTTCCAATATATACAATTCTTGCATTAAATTTAAATCCCATATAGAGATTGAGTAACTCCAACTGGCAAATGCCAATAAAGTGCCATCAGGAGAGAAACATACTGAACGACTGTTTCCTTCAATTTTTTTTATTTCTTCCCCTGAAGCCACTCTCCATAAACGAATTGATTAATCGTGACTACTGGATGCCAAAATGTCTCCAAAGGAGGAGAAACAAACTGAATAGACTCTTTCATTATGTCCTTCTAATTTTAATTTCTGCTATCCTGAGTCCATATCCCACAAAAGAATGGAATTATCTCCACAACCTGAAGCCAAAATCAACCCATCAGGAGAAAAACAAACTGATAAGACTGACCCATTAATTCCTTCTAATTTTATTTTTTGTTTCCACAACTTTAGATCCCATAAAAGGATAGATTTATCTTCACCTCCTGATGCTAAAGTATTACCGTCAGGAGAAAAACATATAGAATAGATTTCTTATGTATGCAGTTCTAATAAATTCTTTTACTGCCCTGATTCTACATCCCATAGACGAATAGATTTATCATCGCTACCGGAGGCTAGAAGAGTGCCATCAGGAGAAAAACATATTGAATAGACCCAACTTCGATGTCCTTCTAAGTTATTTTTCTCTTGCCCTGATTTTGCATCCCACAGTCGAATTGAATTATCGCCGTTACCAGAAGCTAATATTGTACCATCAGGAGAGAAACAAACTGAAAAAACCCAATTAATTTTACCCTATTATTTTTGATTATTTTTATCAGACCTCACATCCCATAAACAAATCAACTAATCTCCGCCCCCAGAGGCTAAAGTAGTGCCATCTGGAGAGAAGCATACTGTACTAATCCAACTTCGATGACCTTCTAACCTTTTCCTTTCTTAACCTGACCTAAGATCCCATATACGGATCGATTTATCTTAACTACCTGACGCAAGTATATTGCCGTCTGGAGAGAAGCATATTGAACGAATCCAATTTTGATGACCTTCAAATATTTATTTTACTTGTCCCAACCTGATGTCCCAAATGCGAATAGATTTATCCTCACTTCCAGAAGCTAAAGTTGCCCCATCAGGAGAGAATTTTACTGATTAAATACATCCACTATGCCCTTCTAACTTTTTCTTTTCTAATCCTGTCTTCAGACTCCATAAGCGAATTACTTTATCTCCGCTACCTGAAGCTAGCGTATTACCATCAGGAGAGAAGCAAACTGAATAGACACCTAATTTATGTCCATCTAACTTTAATTTCTCTAATCCTGATTTTACATCCCACAATCGAAGAGAGCAATCATAGCTGCCAGAGGCTAAAGTCGCTCCATCGGGAGAAAAACATAAAGATTGCACAAAATCATTATGCCCTTCTAGCAAGAATCTTTATTATCCTGTCTCAATATTCCAAAGACGTATAGATCTATCGAAACTTCCTGAAGCTAAAATAGAGTCGTCAGGTGCAATACATAGAGTTGATACTTTTTCAGTGTGACCTTTTAACTTTTTCATATCTTAACCTAGCTTGACATCCCATAAAATGATAGATTTATCTTCACTTGCTGAAGCTAAAAATTTCCCGTCAGAAGTGAAGCATATTGAATAAACACTTCCCTTATGCCCAATTATTTTATGTAGCTCATATATCTAAAGATTATTCCATTTGCAATTATAAAGCAATGTTCCGTTCAAATTTATCCCATCGATATTTACATTCTCAAATTCAGAACCACTTAAATCACTAAATGCAAAATTACTTGCATATAATGTTGTGTTTTTGATTTTGATATTTCTAAAACTTTATCTGGTAAGATCGATTTTCATCTCAACTAAAAAATTAATACAATTAGATCCGCTTTAAATAAAACCATCATCTAATGCAGTGAGATGCACTATAAATTGTAAAAATTGAATAATCGTTTCTTCTTTTTAAATCTTTTGGATAAGAAACTTTCTAGTTTCTCTGTGACTTTACGTTGAATAATTAACACTACTCAAGTCATGTTACTTTATAATTCTAAGAATAGTAGTTATCTTTTTAAAATTACTTTCTATAACATCTAATTATTTTTACTTCTCATATAAAGATAAATTATTATTTTAAATACACATTTCATAATGCTTCTAACTAACATGCTTTTCAAGAAATAATACACAATCTTTAACTTATTCAGTTTCCAAAATTTTGATACACCTTTCTAAGCAAGATTTTTCGATATCTTTTGTTGCTATTAAAACCTCAAATATATCAGAAGCAATCATGAATTCTGAAATTGATTTATGAACAAATTAAAAGTTGCCACCCTTTTACTTAACAAACGAACAGCTTCTTATATCTTTTTTGAGATGTCCATCTTGTCCGTCATCATTGAAAAATTCGTTTAACCATTTATTTTCATCGGTTTCATCTTTATATAAAAACCCTTATTATTTATATTAAACCTAAGTTACTTCTTTAATACTCATCTATTTAGCCAGCTTTATTGAGTATTTTTGTAAATCATAAAGAAAACGATCAGTATTAATAGATTTTCCTAAATTCCTTTATTTTTCAATCTATCTGAAATGATATTAACTAATAAATTCCTCATAAAAATCATAACTAGTAAGATTTTATTCTCTTAAAGAATCGCAAATAAGTTTGGCTATTCTTTCATTTGAAATTGGAACTTTTTTTATAACTTCAAACTAAAAAAGAATATTCTTTATGTTATTAAAGTCGAATATGTAATTGAGCTTTTAATTTAACTCATTTATCTCTGATAATTAAAATTAGCTAAAAAACTAATTTTGTTCTAAAATATTCCAAATTTCAATAGATAGTTAAATATAATCAATACTTGTTAAAACTTCAATATCTTATTTATTATATTAATCTTGTTGATGATTTTCAAATTTGAGAGTATCTGGAGTTTATTCATCTTAAGCATTTTTTAACAAATTTGAAGATTTTAAGTTCTAGTTTTAATATAATTTTATCAGATATAGACTCATTAATAACTCTTATATCTTTTTGGATAAATTCTTAATAAAATTTTATTTTAATTTGAGAATCTCTGTTACTTTAGCCAACATTTAAGGTAGTACTTAAACAATAATTTCCATCATATAAGGGGTATCAATCAATTTATCGAGATTAATCATCTTGATCATAGCTTCATACTTTTCAACACTCCAAAGCTTCTATAAATTAATATCAAGCCTTCTGAGTGCTTCATTGCTTTATAAAGAGATGAGTTAATCGTTTTTCAAAAATAGTATAATTTCCTCTATCTACTTCTTTTAAAGTAAAATTTCAGCTGAAGTTTTTAAAGGAGATTACTTTAAAAATTCAGTTTGGAACTTATGCCAAAATAATTCAAACTTCTAGAGATCCATTGAAATTTAGTTTAACATTTTTGTTTACCATTCATAGATTTCAAAAATCAACACTTTAATACTTAAATATGTAAACTACTTTATGTATTCCTTTTTTTAAATTTGGTCGAATTTTAAGATTTAGATTTCTTTTAGTTTTGCTTTATCTTCAGGTGCAAACCAATCAGAATAATTGCTGCTTGTTAGAATCTCACTTCTTGTTGTAAATATAACTAAAGGGTTTGACCAATTTGAATAAAGCTTATTGATAATATATATATTTTTTTTGATATTCTCTAATTTCATTTCATCGTAACTATCCATCAAAATTAGCAATCGAAACTTTCTTATTTCTAGCAACTCCTTACATTCTTTTAATTATAAATCATCAAAACCGTACTCATCCTGACGAAGTGCTTCCTCTATGATTTAAAAAGCAGGATTTTTTACAGAAGGTAAAGAAATATATATTGGTACAAGTACATATTCATTAACCTTAATATTACTTTCATTTAATTTCCAAACAAATTCTTCTATTTTTTTAGCAACAGTACTTTTGCCAGATCCAGCTACCCCATGTATTAGCAATACAGTTTCATTTTCTTTTAATAAAAATTTATTCACTTCTCCTGATAAATCATCAAATTATTCTAAATTCATCAAATTATTTGTATTTCTTTTCGTTTTGTCTTAACTTTTTAATGGTACATATATTGTTTTTACGTTTTTTTAAGCTGCCTCTTTAAGTACCTTCCATTTCCTAATTTCAAGTAATTATTAAACAGATTTCCCTCTTAAAGATTTAATATCATCACTCATACTTTTTAATTAATCTTTCATTTAATTTATCTTTGCTTCTACTCTATTTAATCCTTTTCTAATGTGATTTACAAAATCTGTGATAAGTTTTAGTTATTATCCCATCTCACTTATGTTTTCAATATATTCATCTAATTGTTGAGTTGTTTCATCTAATTCTATAAGTTGTTGATCCCTTTTTGTAAGATTGGCTTCATGAAAAATTTATTCTTACAAATCATCTATTTTCCTTAGCATCTATTGCATTTAACTTGAAATTCTATCCTGCTATGTCCTCCAATCTTTTTGCAGAATCTAAACTTATTTAGCAATCAAATCTTGGTTTTTTAATAAATTTCTAACTCTTTAATCCTTTTCTAAAGTCCAAATTTAAATCAATGCCTATTGGCAAAATTCAATTATTGTATCTGAAAAGCAATTTGATGAAATTTAAATAATAGTAAATATTAATCCCTATTTAATTTTCCATTCATCATTGTTTTTAAAATCTTGATACTTTTGTCCCATAGTTTCAAAAAAGCCTTACTGTTGATTTAATTCATCATCCATTTCTTTATCTTAATTATCCAACTAATATATTTTAGCAAATTTTTGAATAAATAACTCTTATTCAAAAGTTATCTTTTCATTTATCAATCCTTTCTCAAAGGATTATTCTTGGGAAAAACCTTTTAATTCATTCAAAAAGTCATAAATGCTGATTTAGTAATTACTATTATTTTCATCGCATATTTTCTCATTTTCATTTTTTACTTTATCCAAAGAGATCTTTAATCTATCAAAATATTTCCTAGAATTTTCGTTTTCTTTTTATAAATCCTGTCCAATCCATTATAAATTTTCATAGTTAGTAATAAACTATAACAGATAAACATTAAAGTTATTTTGTAATTTTGCTTAAGTTTCTGCTTTATATTTTTGAAATTGACAAAGTCTGCAAGAATATTATTATATTTCTTCAAGGATTTTAGTTAATATCTACTTTTCTTCTTTTAAAAGTTTTTATTGTAATTTCACAGTTAAAGTAAAGATCCATATTGCAAAAGAAAATTTTTCATCAGATTTGAAATCCAAAACTTCTACTTGGGAAGCATTGACATTTATTTTTTCGATCTTATTTTCTTCTTTTTCTTCATTCAATTTTATGTCGTAATCTATTTTCTATACAGTTTGTCTTATCTAATTACATCTCTCCATAGATATATCTTTTTAATTAATATCATTATATTCCTAAAAGTACTTTTTGCATACATCTTATTTATTTTATAAATCTAGGATTTCTTCTTCTATTAAAATTTTTTAAATCTCTATGTTTTAATATAAGGAGGTCTTTAAAGTATTAAGGACTATTTAAGTTTAATTAATTAATTAATTTAATGCATCTATCTTCAGATGATTGCTGATATTCTTTGTAATTTCCTTTTAGTAAAATATTAATTAATTATAAAAATTCTCATATTTTTCTATCTCTAAATTTAATGTCTGCAGTGAAAAAGGTATTTAAGTTAGTATTTTTAAAGATTCATTAATTTAAGCATCCTCAAATACTTTTTCAATCTTATCAACATACTCAGATGATGATTAATTTCTGAATAAATCGTCAAATTCCTTTTCAATCAGCTCTAAATCCTCTCTGTATGCTTCATTAATTTATTCTTCTAAACCTACTTAGTACAGTAAATGTTCCAAAACTCCAATTTACCTAGATAATTTGGTTGAGAAATCTTCTTCAGAAAGTTGTATAGTTTTTAATTCATTGATAGAATGCTTGTAAAAATTATTATTATAACAAATAATTCTTTTTGGAAAATTGATAACTACTTGAAGAAGAAAACCCTCCAAATTAATTATTGATAACAATTTTGACAATTCCTCTTGTTAAGCAAATTTCAAAATACACCAGAATTTTTCTTAAAATGCAAATAACTTAAATTTTAAAATTTAAACTTCAAACCTTAATTCTTAAATAAGTTGCGTTGTGTTAGAATCAATCAATTTTTTTTTAATCATTAGTAAGTTTTCATCAGTTAAAGATATATCATCTATTTAATTATTTATGATCATCATTTATTTTAGGATCGTCATATGCTCATCAAAATTTTAATTTAATTAATCATTGAATTATGAATATGTCAAAAAAATACCCTATAATGAAACCTCAAAACAAATCGTT